GGAGCAGCTGGTGGGTTTGAAGCACCAACCTTTCCGTTAGCAATCCAATGCCTAGCCCACAGCACCACCGGGGCTCTTTGCCTGGATGTTTCAGAGTCGAAAAGGACTCATAGGCTTCCATGGCTGCGACCTTTTGGAAACAGGTTACCAGGTCTTTCTTCTGAGGCGCGTCCAGGTGAGTTAGACCATTTGTACCACTCAGGAACTCCTCGAACACATGATAGGCTTTTAATAAATAGTTATGAATGAAAGGAAGGAAAGAAAAGGAAACGAAGAAAGAAGTGGAGGCAAAAGGGAGGGAAATACACATTGAAATAGGAAGCAAATGAGAGAGAGAGACCAAGGGAGAAAAGCAAATACTTTATAAACAGAGATTTGTTTCATGGTCTCAGGTCTTCCAGGTGCCTACAATATTTTCCTTTTTTTAGCTGAAGCTGTAAACTGGCAGCCCATCTTTTGTTCTAAATAATGTACTGTGTTCTAAAATAAAATAGTGATTTAAAGAGCAGTGATTTACCACTCTAGAAGATACTTAAAAGATAGAGTTCACAGGGTGAATGACTATAACTTACAAACCCAAAATATATTTTAAAATATAAGTTGCTTGAGAATGGAGAAGTTCCCTTATATACTGTTGGTAAAAATATGAATTGGTAAAATCATTCTAAATATGAATTTAACTATACAACATACTTAAATAAGCATAAGTTTGGGGCTAATAATTTCCTTTCAAGAAACACACAGCTCAGAGATTCAGGCAACAGGCTCCCATAGTCACATCTGCTACCAGTCCTTTATTCCACCGAATATGAATGGAGACTGTGTGTAATACAATCGTGCTTTGCCTTCTGTAAGCGCAAGCTAGTGGTGTTGTTTGATCCATTGCCTCCATGTGAACGAAGGGCTTCATTCACTCACCTCATTTTCTTCCATTAAAACATCCTCAGCAACAGACAATTACACAAAAACAAAGAAAAATAAAAATCCAGTGGAAGGTTCGTTCAAATCTGTATTTCTCTCAAATGCTCTAATAATAGATACACCTAGCAATGAACCCACATGTGCTCTGTTTAAACCAAACCAAGCCCACTGTCACCAAGCTGATTCCTACTCAAAGCTACCCTAGAAAGGTTGTCCAGGTGAGACTATCAGTCTTCATGGGAGCAGGCAGCCTCATCTTTCTCTGGAGGAAACTGGTGGGTTTGAACATTTGACCTTGCAGTTAACAGCCCAACCCCTAACCCACAGGACCACTTATTTGGGGCTTATGAGAATCCATTTTATCTCTCCCTCAGATCTCCAAGTAAGGGCAACTATTTTTATTAAGACATTTTAAAGCTGAGAAAAGGAGAGGAGGAAAGGTATTAGGAAATTTGACTAAGGTCACAGGGCAAGAGAGCTATTAGGGGTTGAGTCCCTTTTAATTGCATTGTGTTTAAATCCAGCAGTATAATTTGTAGAGCCTGTGGTCTTCATCCTACTTGCATTCGAGCTAAAATTCTGAACACTGTTTGCAAAAGGCTGGAGTTTATAATGAGACCCTACGTCTATTTTTTGTTTATTTTGGTTTTTTCCTACGTCTATTTTGAAGTCTCCACATAGATCCAGCCTTCATGTAATTCTCTCTGACCTTTGTTGACCACTAAAAATGAAAAGCTTTGCCCCCACCCAGTAGAGTAAGCTTGAAAGTAGATTACTGGCACTCTCTTAGCCAGCCAAAGGTGGGGCAGACTTGCCCTCAGATCTTGCTTGGGTAAGTGTTCTTGGTAGAAGTTAGGCCCTGGTGGCATAGTGGTTACAGCACTGGATTGCTTAGTATAAGGTCAGCAATTCGAAACCACCAGGCAGCTTCTCCATGGGAGAAAGACAAGGCTTTCTATTCCTATAAAGATTTATAGTCTTGAAAACCCACAGGGGCAGTTCTACCCTGTCCTATAAGCAGTAAGTTTGGTTCAAGCTTGTTCCCTCCTAGAACATACTACACTATCTTTCTCAGACCTAAAACTACTGTTCAAAACTCATTACCATCAAGGCCATACAGACTCGTATTGGCACTATAGGACAGGATTTAGTGCCCTGTGAGTTTATGAGGCTGTAACTGTACAGGAGTAGAAAGCGCCTTCTTTCTCCAGTTTCTCTGGTGGTTTCAAACTGCTGACCTTTCAGGTCTCAGCCCAACACATAACCACTATACTACCAGCGCCACATCTGCATGGACACCTCGTGCCTTCTTTCTCATTACAAATGAGAGATCTTTACCAAATGTGCCTTAGAGTCAGTCCATCAATCTTTTCTTCTGCCTGAACATTTCCAGTGGATTCCATGTCTCTTAGCCTATAATTAAAAAGGTAGGACTATCCAGACGCAAGGAGTCGTTGAGTGATGATCGCCTACTAACTAAAAAATTTGAGGTTCGTCTACCCACAAAACCAAAAAGTCCACCTCACCACCACGGAGTCCGTGCTGAATCATAGCGACCCTATAGGACGGGGTAGCACTGCCCCTGCGGTTTTATAAAACTTAACTGTCTTTTGGGAGTAGAAAGCCTCATCTCCCCAGAGGCACCTCAGGAAAAATATCCTAGAGAAAGAATGCCAAAAATCGGTCACCGCAGCCTATGAAGTGTAGTTCTGGGTGGTCAAGAGTTGACTTTCTGGTTCCTGAGGGGGAGGGTTTTTTTGTTTGTTTTTTTCCTGGAAAGGTTTTATTGCTACTGGAGGAAGAGGTGGAGGTGGGGGATAAGAGAGCCCTAGTCTCTGGGCAGCCAGCAAATTGCTCGGCAAATCTAAGGCTTCTCTTAGCTTAGATGTGTGTCCCACCCACTAGTCCTTGGAGACCACGGTGCCTAACTCCTAGGGCAATCGCCACACACTTTTGGGATCATGTCCCCAAAGGAACCTGGGATTTATACTTGGTGAAGTGCCCATGGCGGCAGTAGCGGTGCCTCAGTTTACTCAGGTTCTTCGGTGACTCTGTGGCCCTTATTGAGGACCAGGGCCATAGGGTAGCGCACCACCGTGGTGGCTGCTGCAGTTTTCTGTTGAGATTTTTATCCAAACTCGTCTCACATTTATTCCTCTTCCACTATTTGGTTAGTTACCTTCTCCTCCTCTTTTACAGCTTCACCTTTCCTGACTACCCTGATGATGTAATCCCATGTTTAACTATATGAGGAATTCCCAAAATATTTTCCACATTTCCTTCACCAGGAGTGAACAAGGATGACAATTTCTTTAAATCCTCACACCACTTTTTGTTCGTTTGTTCTGTTTCATATTAGCCATTCGATGGGTATGAAGTAACATTGAATTTGATTCTGATTTCTGTTAGCTTACTGATTAGTGACTTAGAGTTTAGTGGTGAATGAACTGGTGATGTGGCTAAGATTTCCTCTGCTAAGTGAGAAGTTGGAAGTTTGAACCCCACCCCCCACCCCCTCCGCCCCCGTCACAGGACTGGAGACAGGTAGGAGCATCTTCTTCCGCACATATTCTGGGTTCTACATACCCAATTTCTTCTTTTCTGTCCTTGTGGTTTGCCCAGGTCACACACTGCCCTGCTTTCCCCTGTTTACATTGCATCCCCATGCATTTCTATCCTATAAGCAGATCATCATCTCTGGGTTGAGTGAGGATTGCCCCATACTCACCATTTTAGATAAGAAATATGAGGTACAATTTGTTTTATTTTTTATTTTTGTTTTGTTTTATTATTAATGCTTTGTAGCCCAATGAATGAAAACCCACTGCCATTGAGTCATTTCCTACCCATAGTGATCCTATAGGACAGAGTAGAGCTGCTACTGTGAGTTTCTGAGATGTAGACGCTTTACATCTTTAAAGGAATAGACAGTCTGTTCATTCTTCCCCAGAGTGCATTCGAACTGCTCACCTGCCCATTAGTAGAACAATTTATAAACCCACTAATAGATGAGCTCATAGCCCACTACAACACCAGGACAAACTCAACTCAATACCATCGAGTCAATTCCAACTCATAATGTAAGGCAGCATAGAACTGCCCCTGTGGGTTTCTGAGACTAAATCTTTAAAGGAGTAGGAAGCCTCATCTTTCTCCTACGTAAGAAAGACTGATGTTTTCCAACTGCTGACCTTGTGGTTAGCAGCTTATGCCACCAAGACTCCTGCTAGGGAGACTGAATTCCAAAATCACGCTACTTGGCATGGGGAACACCTTTGCTTCAATGCTGGGTCTCCTTCACCGTCACCAAGTCAAAGCTGACTCTAGCAGACCCTTATGGGTTTCCCATGCCTGATAGTGATCCAGAAAAGAAGGATTTAAATTTTTACTTTTAATAAGAAAATAGAGTGCTTCTTTGGGAGTCAATAAAATATGGATTAAATAGGTAGAATCAGACAAACCGTGACTTGCTTTCTGGTTCTATCACTGGGCAAGAGACTCATACATTTTTATACCCATTTTTGGTCATCTATAAAATTAGAAACAGTAAAATGACTAAAAGCTTTTACACTTAGAAATTTGTATGCTACAAATTCTCAAAACTTAAAAACGACTTTGGTGAGTTGTTGTTACTATTTGTGGATGCAAATGTGGCATTTTAATTGAGCAACTTGCTTAAGATCCTGAAGCACGTAGTATAGCAAAACCATTCAGCGTTCTTCCACTCCCCCCTCCCCCCAACTTCTCGTGCTTTCACTAGTACCATCCATGAATCTCCTCCCTGACGCCCTTCCTGAAGTATCTAGCAACGTTTCCCTCCTTTAAAATGTTTCGGGAGGAATTTCAACTCTCCTGGTTTTTTCTAAGGGGTAGATAATGATGCTAAGGAGAGTACGGGAAAGGGCAGGAACTGTATTAATAATTCTCCCATGCCGTTTCCACCTCTGGAATCAAAAGGGACGCGATTTAGCATCTGTAAGACGAGGGGGAGGGAACGGAGGAGGGAAAAGACGAGAGAGCCTGGCGGTGGTAGGAAGTGGGCGGGCGGAGTTAAAAAAAACTGCCGCCGGGAGTCTGCGGCCACGTCGGTTGGGAGGAGGACTGTCTTTTGGGCAATCTCACCTTTCTGACCATGGAGAATGCAAAAGGCAAGGAGGTAAATGCGACCTGAATGGGTTTCTTTCCGTCTCTCTTTGATCTACTCACCTGTCTTCCCCAGCTCTCCTGGGTCCTTCTTTTGAGAAGGAAAAGCTTTGCCTTCGGATTTCTTCCTCTTTACTGGGTACACATAAATACAAGCTCTGGATATGATTGCCTCTCCGTCTGTTGGCCTTAGGAGATGAGGAGGGGGCGGGAGTGACTAACTTTGAAGGCAATTGTGCCCGGAGACTAGACAGCATGTCGGGCCTGGAGGGAAATGGTAGAAAGTGAAACGGGGCGAAGCTGTGAGTTTACATTCGGAAAAGACCAGGCCTCCTTCAATTTCCTTAGAAGTAGGCGCTGAGTCAAAGGCGTGGGCTCTGATCGCTTGTCACTTTCCTAAGCTCCTCAGGGTCAAGGAATAGTTAGAAGCCCGACCCATTGAGAAAGCCCTGCTTGCAAAAACTTAAAGGTGGAGGAAAGTTTTGCCTCGTTTCAGAGACGCTGAAGTCGTGGGAAACCTGAGGGTGCTCTCGGTTCCAACCTCTTTTCTAAAACCAGGTCATTTTGCCCTCTTAGTTTGACGATTTTTGTGAGGCCCTGAAAAGACTACTTTGTCTAGGAGTTATGCTAATGTAAGATGCAAATGAACAGGTAAACTGCTATACAGATGTAAAAATTCCATACAAATGCTAATTTGTCCAGTACTCCCACCTTTAGGCTTGCTGCTTCCCTGAGCCCTTCCTTAGAACTCGGTAGCCCCAGTCTATGCCTCTGAAAAGTAAAAGTAATAAATTGTTGCCACAATCCTGAGAACGTAATGAAAGAAAACGAGGGAAGAGTCAAAACTCTACCTGATGAAGGTCAGAAGCTCAATAAGTGCTTCTGTGCGTCAGATAATTATATCGTCACTGCCTCTTCCCTTCTTTTGTTTCAATTAACCAATATTTACTAAGTGCCTGCCCATATGGGGCTCGCAATCAAATAAATTACACAAGCATTGCAGTGGACAAGTGGCAGGAATGGGGAAGTATTAAGCAGGTTTGACTCAGCCTGTAAGACACACGCAAAAGAAAAACTGCGGTCACTTAGTTGATCCTCACTGCTATCAACTCTGTAAGACCGAGTTGAACAGCTTCGTAGGTTGCCAAGGTTCTAAACCTTTATGCAGGCCGACGCACTGACAAGCAGACTTTCTCCCTCCCGGCAGCTGGTGGATTCAAACCAGCCTATTAATCTGCCGTTGAGGGTTTTAGCCACTGTGACTTTACAGCTCCGGGGACAAGAAACGGTTCCCAAATAAAACAGCACTTGAAATAAAATGTAAGCATGTTAAAAGTTGGGCAGAAGAGGTACCTCAAGGCCACAGTAATGATATTTGGGAAAGTAACAATATTTGGGAAGGAATTTACGGCTGCTCTTGCAGACAATGAGTGGAGGCTGGAATGGGAGGCGAAGGCTGGTAGGTTAACGTCTCCAGATTTGGGGCAAACAAAGGGAGCCTATTTGATCGCATCCCTCTAGCCATACTTAAAACCAAACTCACTGCCATCGAGCCAATTCTGACAAATGCGGCTCATATAGGACAGGGCAGAACTGCCCCCGTGGCTTTCAGAGACTAACTGCACAGAGGTAGAAATCCTCATCTTCCTCCCCAGCAGCGGCTGGTGCTTCCGACCCCTGCAGTTAGCAGCCCAGTGCCTGACCACTAGGCCACCGGGGCTCCTCTAGGGGGAAGTGATTTATTTGATGGGGTAAAGAATGTAGGCAAGGGGGCTGGACAGTGGCTCTTGCCAGGCAACGGTAGGAGATCAAAGCAGAATCTACTGCTGTGTTCTGCACACTTTCAAAGTGGACTTCTTTTTCTTCATTGCTTCCCGAACTTCAGAGGAGGCTGTGCATTAAGGTGACGGCCAGAGAGCACGCAGGCTGCCAGCGGATTTGAATGACTTCTTAGGTTGTGTTCGACACTAGATAGCTTTAGCAAGCAGTGGGGGGGTGGGTCAGACATCACTGAGGAGCAAAGACTGGCTGAGCAGGATCTCTTTTCCCAGGGGAGCTCCACAGAGAAGCCTGCCGAAGAGTGTATCACTCTCAGCTTTGAGCCAGTGCCAGAACCTGAACTACCGTGGCCTACGAATGAACCAAGCACGTCGTCAACTGTACAAAAGTGTGCGTCTCAAGTGACTCAACGAAAAAGAATTAAAAAAGAAAAAGGTAAGGGTTCCACAATAAGCCTGGACAGAATGGGGGGAAATTTCCACCCTGCTCTCGTGGTTTAAATCTCATCTCCTACAGCCTTCTTTTGGCCGTGTATGCTCTTTATAGGAGTTCTGTCAGGTGGCATAGTGGTTTTGCACTAGCCTGCAATCTGCAAGATTTGCAGTTCGAAGCCACTAGTTGCTCTGCGGGAGAAAGGCTGGACTTTCTACTCCGTAAAAGAGTTACACCCTCAAACTCACAGGGCAGTTTTTCCCTGTCTGTTTGTGTCGCATTGTGCATCTGCCCTAGATGCTTGGGGCACGAAGTATGTTGTGAGTTGTCTTGCATGAGCTAGGCGTGTTTGGGCAGTCACATTCCTGACAGGCACCATTGATGAACTGAAACGGGTGGGGGGGTGGTCAAAGAGACAGTGCTGCTGTGACTGGGCTGGGTTGACAGACTCATGGGAACCTAGTGTTGCTAGGCGCTAGGTGGTTTATTTGACTTTGTGGAGTGAGAACAGACTAAGTATTAGGATTCAAAGTCCACCATTCCCCTGAGATTAAAATGACTGCTTGGCTGGTCAACTTCTAGGGTACGCACCTAGATTCCGTGTATTGAGGCTCACACAGGAGCAAGTATATGTGAATAATGGGGGACCGTATTTGGGGAGGTGAGAACGGGGATTTCGCAGAGGTAACGAGAGCCAGAGGCAATGTAATCTGACGTGAGCAAGTTAACTGTCCCATGGGGGTGTCGTGATGGGGATTCGCTGGATTAGGATAACTGAAGATACACATTTTCAGTTTGACGTTAAAAAGGAATGCCTACACGTTAATGACCTCTGTCTCACTCCATTCTGTCTCAACTTCCTTCCCAAAAGAGAGTTCGCAAAGCGATGACAACTTGAAACCCCGAAAGAAGATTCCGATTCCTCCATTACCATCAAAACTGCCGCCCGTTCACCTGGTTCACCGAGACATCCTGCGGGCATGGTGCCATCAATTAAAGCTGAGCACCAAAGGCCAGGTGGGGGCTCAGCGGAAGAGGGGAGGATGCTTCTCAGAGCGTGTGGGAACGGTGCAAGAAAATGCTCTTCTCTACCGCTTAAGCTGCCGAACAAACGAAGAACTGATACGATTTCATTATTAACTCATTTTTCTCTTGTCTTAGAAACTAGATGCATATAAGCGACTGTGTGAATATCGTTTCCCAAGTCAAAATGTAAGTAACTCTATAGGGAATGTAGCCAATTGGAACGTTTCGTCCTTGCCCTGACTGAGCTATATTGATAGTGAAAAGGGAGCCCACACATTCCCGAACATTCACTAATGTTCCTCCTTCCCTTTCCATTTCTGGTTCTGAGGGGGAAAGACATCCCACCTTATTTCCATACTTTCCATCAACTCTCTGCAGACAGTACTAAAAAATGAGACCAATGTTCTGATGGCTTTCATAAACATCCTGATAATGTATTCAATATAATATAAAGGGGGGGATGAGAAATACAACTTTCCTCTAGTTCCTAAATGTTTCCTCCCCGCTCCCACTACCATGACTCGAATTCGACCTTGCAAGTCTTGGCTAGACCAGAGGATGTACACTGGTACAGATAGGAACTGAAAATACAGGGAATCCAGGGCTCATGAGCCCTACAGGACCAGTGGTGTGAGTGG